AAGCATCAATACCTCTCCGCCCTTATTGTGTCCACAGATAGCTGACCAGCTATCAATTCTGGGGGTACCTCAAAGAGGCTGACAGTACAGCATGGATCCAAGTGTAGATCACCTCCCTGGCTGCTTCCCTGACCCAGGAGAGACCCAGGTCTGGTAAATAGGTGGATGAGCTGACAGCATAGAAAGCCCTGTCCACTTCCTCAGAGTCACTGGCTTAAACTCACACTACCAGACCATGCCCCAGGCACCTCAGCTTGTCCTGCTCAGTCACTTTCCAAGGCAGAATGACTCTGAGCGATTTTATCTGCCAGATAGCCTGAATAATCTTCACAGTGGCCCAGCAGATGTTCCAGGGGGGCCTCCCTACCCCGTAGGGACTAGGTCACCCTAAACAGGACCTCTGGACAGCCATCAGCGGACACAATAAAGGTGAAGAAATATTGATATTTCACCACTTTTATCACCACAAGGTAATCCCTAATATGGACTCTTACTCATGTCTGGTCAGATTTACTTCAAGTCTTCTTCCAACATAAACCAAGGTGCATCCCAGGATTGGTGCACAGGGAGAGGCCACATAGGAGTGATACGACTTAAGGTCTCAGCCACTCACCCATTTCAGGTAGTGACTAGGGTCTTGGCCAAACTGCCCACTAGTTCCTCAAGGAAAACCCCAAGCTCACTCTGGAACCCTGCTGGGTCCATCAGTCATCTGGGGCAGGCTGATCAAATAGGCCCTGTCTCTCTGCAGGGAGGGGTGACACTAGTGAGCTAAAAAACAATCAGAGAGTGATCTGTCTATACCAGGAATGCCTCAGATTTAGTGAAAATTGAGATTTATGTGACAATATTGACAATACCAGATGAGTTTTGTGACTGCCCCCAATTAGATACACATTTCCCAATATTGGGAGATATACTAAATAAAAGTTACCGATATAGTTACTGGACTAAGAACATCCTTTAATAGGAACCTCAGAAAGTACCTTACACAATGTCTAACTACTAGTCCATCTAGAATTGTACAGACTGTCAGAATCTCTCAGACAGAACTTATTTTTTCTCCCTTACATATTCCAGAAAAGATATATCATGAAGTTGTACCAGAGATATTTTGTCAGATCTACTGCTTGATCAGAAAAGTGGCCCAGTATTTTCAAAGTTCACATGAGAAAGAATAAAAACATTTAGATATTGCAATCTAATATGGTTTTTGCCAGCATTATATAGATCCCTGGGAAAAGGGATATTTTTTTCCCATACTACAGGTAGTCCTTGCTGAACAATGGTAATTGCGACCAGAATTTCCATTGCTAAACAATGCGGTTGTAAAGTGTGATGTCACATGACCACATCACTTAGCAATGGCAATCCTGGCACTCCCTGTTGCCATCATTAAGTGAGGATTGTGGGTCATTAAGCAAGTCCCAGGCAGCTTGCAAGCAGGCCAGCAGGCAGGTAAGTGGCTGCTGCTGGGTGGAGGAGGGTATGCGGATGGCCGGTGAGGTGTGGCACAAGCGCAATGGGACTGGGGCTAAGTGTTGCCAGGCGGGGGGAATGAAAGTGACTTACCAAAACAACTTGCGACCTTCCCTGCTGGCTTCCCCATTGACTTTGCTTGTGAGAAGCCCGCAGAGAAGTTTGCAAATGGTGATAATTACCTTCACCTAATAGACAGAATCTCGCCAGACTAATTCTAATCCCCAACAACAGCAACTACAACCATGATGCCTGTAGGGAGCAGCCAGTCTCCTTCTCTTGACTTTCCCATCCTCTGGCTGGGGGCTGAGGAGCTGCTTTCCCTGGAAGCTCTCCTCCCTCTCCCGGCAATGTGACTGCGGGACGCTGTAGTTGTTGTAAGTGCAAGCTGGTTGCCAAGCACCCAGATCATGTCCACATGACTGCAGGGGTGCTGGGACAGCTGGAACTTTGAGGACCAGTTGTAAGTACCACTTGTTCAGTGCTGTTGTAACTTTGAATGGTTTCTGAACAAGTGGTCATTAAATGAGGACTACCTGTATGTGGTATTTGGGTCTTTCTATGTAATAAGAAACTATCATTAATTTGTTAACATGAGCAACTGTCAGGTTCAGCCCAAGAACAACAGCAAGACAGTCCAGAATCAGTTCAGCTCCTTTATTACCTTCACCGAATAGACAGAACCTCGCCAGACTAATTCTAACCCCCAACACCAGCAACTATAACCATGATGCCCTTAGGGAGGAGCCAGTCTCCTTCTCT